TCTCTCTCTCTCTCTCTCTCTCTCTCTCTCTCTCTCTCTCTCTCTCTCTCTCTCTCTCTCTTGCTGTCCCGACGCGGCGCAGAAGATCCGCGCGCAACGTGTTCGCGTTTATCGTCTGTAATAAATTAATGACGCTTGTAACTGTAACCGCGCGACGGCAAAGGCCGCCAATGAGCGATTCGGACGTCCACGGCGCAACGAGGTGTTTCTTGTCTAGGTGCCGCTCTTCCACGAGGAAGGAGCGATCGCGCGCTCGCGGGACCGCGAAAAAGCCGAGGCTCGATTATTCGGATGATCCGCGCTAATCGAGCGAGATGAGCGAGGCGACGTGAAATCGCTCGCTCATTCGCCCGACTAATTGAAAGATCCGCCAGCGAGGCGAGGCGAAGTCGAGATGAGGCGAACAGCCCGGTAACCGATCAGCGTCGCGCACGATCTTCATGAGACGCGTCCAGAGTTACGCAATTAACAATAATAAGCTTAACGGCTTGATATTTCGAGAACTACTAGATCGAGGAAATCAATTAATACAGCATAAGTATGATATAATTAAATGAATTATCGTAGCGTAAGTATCATGTTATATTAATACTGCAATTCTAGACAAAATCGTAAAACTCGTTCTCGTAAGACTCGTAAGAACTTATGAATAAATCTGCAATTCTATGCGGACTGTATGTCATATGATAACTCGTAAATATCTACGATTTTTTTTTTTTTGCTTTTTTCGTAAGCTACTTTATGATTTTACGATTAATTCGTATATTTGCAGTATTTGCTTAGAATTGCAGTATAAGCAGGGATGAGATTCGGAGCCGATAAATATATGACAATCGACATGCACATAGAGAGAAGTCTCGTATATGTTGTGCTCGGCGAGTTAGTCGAAGCGTTATTTGGAACAAACCTCGTTTTAATAGTTTGATTTGATCACGTAGTTTTATCTGATCACGTAGTCAGGAATATTAGCTATTAAATCTTACGTAGGATGCATGAATAAACGAGCTTGATATGATATCAAGCTCGTGCGATCTCGAATGAATCTGCATTAGTTGACCAGATCACTGCAAGTGCGACGGAAACGCGAGGGAAGTCGCGAGAGTGGGAAAGAGAGAGCAGCAAGATTGATCGCACGCGATCCTCATGAGCCGCGTCGAAAAATTGCATAATTAACAATGATGCGTAAACAAATGATGACACGATAACAGGGCGCGTCGAACGGTTCCGGATGATTCTGGTTTAATTGATGGGATCGCTGCGAGTGCGGCTGAAACGCGAGCAAAGTCGGAGAGAGAGAGAGAGAGAGAGAGAGAGGGAGAGAACGGTAAAATTCATTGGAACTTGGCAGAGTCCCAGCTTCGAGACAGCTGTAAAACGTATTATCCACCGGGACGTACCTGTCCTGATACACGAAGCAATAAGAGTACAGCGCCAACGAGCGGCCAGCTTTTAAGAAATACGTTACTGTTATGCAATAAAGAACGACTTATCCGCCGGTGTGCGTATTGATGCGTGCAACATATGTTGCGCCGTGAATCGCGGCATTTTCATATCAATATCGAGCGCCGCGACTCTCTCGACAATTATCATACCGGAGAGCGGAGAGACGGGGCGAGAGACGACGACGACGACGACGGTGACGACGACGTCGTCGTCGTCGTCGACAGGCACATAAATTATCGCTGATATTACCGATGTGGTAATATCAGCTACCCTTCTTCTGCGCCGGCTCTCTTAACTGTACCGCCTATTACGATTAAATTTAAATCATAGAAGACGGGACGCGCGAGATATCGGCGAGGGACCGTAATCTCGCGTTTTGAGAAATTGCACATCGGAGATACACACGGGATATCGTTTTTGCGCCTGTCGTCGTTGCACGATATATATCGTCCCGGCGACGTCCCGTTGCCCGTGAGACGTCCCTTCGCGAGGCCCACGCGCCTCTCAAGCGTACACACGTCCCTATGTAATTCCGCGCGGAGAAAGTGCTTATTTGCGCGCGCGTATGTGAGTCATTTCGTTCGCGAAACGATCGACCGATAACCGAGCGTCGCGACGATTGATTATCTCGGGTTCTGGGTCACCCTCCATCTCTCACGTGTTTCTTTTTCTCTTTTCTCTCTCTCAACGCACACACGCGTTTTCCAGGTCGCTAGTTTGCCGAAGTAACGAATTGTTCGCAAAAGAAACAGCTCCTCGCGAATTTCCAAAAAGAAGGGGAGACAAGGAGAAGAGAAAAAACCGTCACGGATGCCCGCGCGATCGCACGATAGCAGAACCGGAGATACGCGAATATGCTGCATTAACCGATCGCCGTTCGTATCTCTGTCTCTCGTGGCGAGAACTGAAATATGACCCGGCTGCGCGACCGTCCAATTAAAATTTCGCGCGAAAACCGTAAAACTTCTCGCAACGGCCGGGATATTCGAGCAGGCCGGAGTGCAGACCGGAATTGACTTGGTGACCAAGCGAGTGACGATCAGCGCAATGTCAACTGATCACTCGCCGGCGCGGAGAACGTCGCGACTGATCAGCCGGCGTCGGAAGTGGCGCCACCGACCTGCGCGATACCGATCGACGTGACAATGGCGTAACTCTCCGGATCGTCAGCATCAAATTCTTCCACGGGAAGATGCTCTCTAATCCGTTCGCGGTGAAACGACGATTCCGAGGCGCACGCAATTCGCCTGCTCATAATCCTTCGTACTAAACATTGTACCATCCGCGCCGTACTTGCACATCCTAAGGTACGACATCATCAACAACAACAACTTCCGTTTAATGCACACTTATGAAACATAATGACATAAGTGGTCGCAGATTATTCAATTTCCACAAGCTCTCCACGGGGTACATCACAAAGACTTTCGCCCAAAGCCAAGTAAGTATCTCCGTGGCGGCTAAGGAGGAACAAGGGGAAGCTGTCTTGCCGTGGAAGTCTACCGGGAGGAAGAAGTACACGAGGAAGAAGAAGAAGACGACAAAGACGAAGAAGACGAAGACAACGGAGAAGAAGGAGAAGAAGAAGGAGAGGAAGACGACGACGACGACCGTGCAGAAGAAGAATAGTCGCATTCTGGAATGTCGCGCTGCGATTGGTCGCCGATGGTGGGCAGCGGGCCCTCGGATTGGCCCTAGGCGCGTTTCCCCACCTTGGTGGAAATTCACTTTTTACCGTCGTTATTACAAAACTGACTGGCACCTCCTAGACCATGTCATTACGGTGCAGTGCTCCATACAGCGAGCATCCTCTCACGAGTAGTGCGCTACCCACCACGGTCGCACCACCTCCACCGCCACCGCCACACCATCACCACCTTCACCTACCTCCACTACCACCGCGCGTCCGCGCTGCTGCTGTTACTACTACCACTATTACTACCACCACCAACAGTACGTCACCGCCACCTCCACCGGAGTCTCATCACCGTCACCGCGGTCACCTCTACTACGTCTACTACTGAAGGCGCCCCGCGTCGTCCTTCTCCCGCTGATCTCTTCCCACCTTCCGCGACCGTGGAAGAAGAGCGCGCGGCGGCGGCGGCGGCCACCGGCGCGGTTTATCTCGGCGGAGTGTTACGGCCCGGAGAACAGAGCGCGCAGACGTTGCTCTATTTCGGCTCTAAGCGCACACGCCGCTCCTCCACCAGCAAATACAGCAGCAACACTGTGACCGGTACCGGTGAGGTTCCGCGCGAGGGTACCTACCTGAACGTGGTGATTAGACACGAGATACACGCCGCTGGTAGCACGTCGTGGTCCGATTGTACCGCTGCCGAGCTCCGGGACTTTGCTCTTCTACGCGAGAGACCCGATCGCGCGGGCGCGCGCGCGTCCGCGAGAAAGAGAGAGAGAGAGAAAGAAAGATCACCGCTTCGCCTCCGTTCTCCGGGGTCCAGCGGCTACCTCAGTCCTCAGGTTAAGTTCCGCGGAGCCGTCGCGGACGCGGGATGTCCGACTGATCCTTCCGCAGTGGAAGTGGATAAGCGCGCGTCGGACACGCGCGCGCGTAAGTGGAGGAGCAAGTCGGTCGTCGTTGTCGTCGTCATCGTCGGTGGTTGTCCGGCGGATAAACAGACAGACAGACAGACAGACAGACAGACAGACAGATAGACGGCGAGTGGTGAATACGGGAAAACGCGACTGTAATCATCCACGCGCGCTTAGACTCCCTCTTTTCGCTCGCACCTTTCGCTTTCTATCAGTGATTCTGTGACTCGTGATTGAGAGGAGACTTAACCGGCTGGTTCCACGGACGGACACTATTCCCTCGATTTTTCTCATCAGACGCGCGTCTGGGGTTGTTGGCGGAAGAAGATCGCACGGCAGCATGGCAGCCAACGCGAGGATGGATCGGAAGATAACGCTGTAAGTGATAGTCTAAACGACGACGACTGTTTTACGACTCATCATATACACGCGACGCTTGGACGGTGCCGATGACTCGGTGGGAATCGTGCGAAGATCGTGCTGCTTGTTGTCGTTGTTATTGATATCGTTGTGAAATACTCTCACAATTCTTGAAGTGAAACTCCCACTCGAAAAGTAGAGTAAGCACCGAGTCACTCGAATTCGAATGATTTTCTCACTCATACAGTGAGAAAAAGATACTTGAAAATTCACGTGTGTGATGTAAAGTTTATTCACAGAAATGAACTTTACATCTCACAAACAAACTTCCGAGTATTCTTTCTCAGTGCATAGAGCGAATATTTCATTCTGAATCGTTGAATAAATACGTTCACTCAAAATTAAAGAGTGAATCCGATGTATTCCACCGTCACAGAGAAACACATTCACTTTTAGTTGCGTCTTTTTTAAAGGCGTACCTTGTCAATTAATATCCTTATAAAAAGAAAAATTTCAGCATGCTTGACTTTTGAACGATTGTGAAGAACCTCAGTACTTTTAAACCATGTACCAAGTTTTCATCTGCATTTTCTCGAAACATACTTTACGTAGGTTAGATAATTTCGTATAACTACAACCAACTGATTAATTGAGACATTCACACATGGGGTGTCGGAATCCACTCTAAGTGAGGAGCGAAACGTACACTCATGTGACTTCGAGCGACCGTGTTTTCACTGTCGCTCCGAGTGAGAACACTGGCACTTTTCACTCGTTTTCAGTGGGACTTCTCTGCAAGAAATTCAGAGAGTAACGCAGTGAAAATCTCACATGCGGAGCGGAGAGATCTAGTTTTGCATAAATCCTCTCACGTCAGCGCGCGACCGCGAAATGATGACGAATGAGTCGCCGTTACGACGAGCCGTGTTCCCACTGTGTGTCTGTGGACGCGCGTCTCCCATTCTTCGTGCGGTATAATTACTTAAAAGACCGATTCGATATTATAATAATTCATCCGGCAACACCTCCCCCCGCGGGGAACCTTCCACGTAATTACGGAATACCAGTCGTCGCGCCAGACGTCGATCATTAATTACCCCCTCGAGGGCACGGGCGAATTAAAATAATGCGTCTGCGAATCCGTATAATTTACCTTAATATACCGAATCGCGGCCTGATCCGCGCGGTAGATTATTTCCCCGCTATCGTATTAAGCACTGATTACCAACTAATTTACGTGGAGAGATCCGAAGTATTGCATTTACTCGCATTTTTCTACTCTGGCCGCGATCCGACTGATACGCTGAGAAGCGCAGCGCGCATCGCTGCGTGCAAAGTAGAAGGACCAATTCTCGAACGAGTATCTTATCTTGGACATTATTAATGTTTTGGTTCTTTAAATACGAATATTTAGACATTTAACACTAAAAATATATGTGTATATTCAGACATTTTTCCAAGTCCATAACCTGACTCTCTACACTTCAATTGTTACGTAAAACCACATATCCAGCATGCTGGACAATCGATTAATATGTGGGACATTCAGATGTCTTAGCATCTTTGAAGTTTGACGCGTGGTAGTGCAAAGTATAAAGAATCGAAAATTCTGAAAAGGATATTTTTGCGTCGTAGCGATCCCTGAAGATCGCAAGAGAAACCCAATACCATCCTAAAATTTTGAAAGAATTCGTCTTGAGACTGCGGAGAATTCATGACGACTGATTAATTTCGACTCGTCCATTAGTTTAGTCAACTAACGTTCTAATAGATTTTTGCAATATCTTTGCAACACTGGGAACTGACGTATTTGTTTAATTTATTGTGGTTGGCACACGACCTTGCGAGAAGCTGTACACCGTCCGGCGTACAGCGGCCTGAATAATAATCGCCATTTTCTTTCGGAAAGAAACGCCTCGTAGATACCATCTTCCCGTTACGGACCTAAATCAGTACTGCTGTTGCTGCGCTTATTTACGACGTCGCGAGTGGCAGAGGAGGACACCGTTCCGGCGAGAAATTTTCCTTCTTGCGCAGGAGATACTTTCTTTTTTTATTTCGCACGTTTTGCATCAGTACATTAAAAAAAATAGTTGTGTCAACCAGAAAACAGTAAAATACGGCGTAGTTTTTATTTCTGGCTTTCTGGCTTTCTGGACTTTTAGTAATCAATTCTTGATTATGTTGAACTATATGATATCAAATTGCATTTTTGAGGCAACGAATCGGCAGATCAGCGCAACCAGAAATTGATTCTTAAAGCTTGAAAAAAAAGTTGCCATATTTTATTAATTTTCTGGTTGATGGCTTTTCTTTCCGTGTACAGAGAAATTCCGAAGGAAAATGGAGACACGCACGGCTTTGACTGTTATGCCCGACAGAAACCCAAAAGAAACGCAATCTCTCTCGACGAAACTTTTCCGCGCGAGCCGTTATGCAGCATCTCGATAAATCACACGATCGGGGAAGATGCATCGCGTGGCGTCGCGCGACTTTTCACGCTCCACGCCCAAACATCGCGAAAATACGACCTGTTGCGTGCACGTGCTAAAAAGTAACAGTGAAACTATCGAAGGCACGATCGCCGCGGAACCTGTTCCGCGATAGCGCGGCTATTATTCGCCACGCCGAGCAGCGCAGTATTCTGCGATCACTAGCCGCGGTATTATCGGCAATCTGGCGAATTATTAATTATCGGTTATCACGACACGGGGCCGTCATCCTGCCCCAGTTTCTGCCGGAGTTCTCGGGCACCTTCGCCTCGCTGCTTCCTCGCCGGTTACGGTGCGAGTAATGATATCAGCAATGTAGCATTTATCTCGATACCCGCTAAGACCGATCCGCTCACGCGTGTTCACGCGAGGAATGCTCTCCCGTGACTTCGTGCACTGAGAGAGAAGAGGATTTGCTAATTTCAACAAACGCCAGCACCCGTAATATAGATGATTTGTTCATATGAGCAAGTGGCCCCGTATTGCGAACAAATAATATATTATTTAAACCGAAATAATAGAAAGCTCCTTGAATAGATTAACTAACAGTGAGATTTGAAGTTGCACATAAGGAGCAGCCACGGATGTCTTAGTGCTATTAAATACTAATATTACTTTTTAATATTAATATGATTGTGAGAGGATAAACATACTGGACAATTTTTTCCTCCCACAATCATATTAATATTAAAAAGTAATATTAGTATTTAATAGCACTAAGACATCCGTGCCTGCTCCTTATGTGCCGTTTCAAATCTCACTGTTAATATATTATTTGTCGCTCCAAGTAACGCTTCAAGTAATGGAGACATAACTAACATGACCTAAATACACGAGAACAAACGTGATCTGCATCTCAGACAACGTACGGCTGCGTCCAGGAGAGAATTCTGCTTTGTTGGAAATTCGTGATGAATATCATCGGGGTCACGCTCTTAGGACCGTGGCACACAGAAAAACCTCAGCAGCAAAACGTAAGCAGCGAGCAAATTGACCAATCACAGTCGCCGATTCTTGGTCCGTAAGAAGAATCATCGTCTGTGATTGATCAATTTGCTTGCTGCTCACGTCTTGCTGCTTAAGTTTTTCTGGGCCCTTAATCTTGGCTGAATCCGAGAGCATGTACCAATCAGATTCACGAGAATTTTCCAACAGTCGCAAAGCAGTTTTCTCTGCTGAAAGTCGCAGCCTTTGTTAAGGAGACAAACGATGAGAAGTGATTTGCGACGGTGATTGCTCGATCTATTTCCCTAACGAGCACTGAGCAGCAAACCTGCTTTTGTCCCGAGGGGTCTCTCTCTCGGCGCACGCACGCGGCAGAAATGCGCAATCGAATGCTAAATCCTCGCCGCTTCGGAGATCTCGAAAAGAAGAAGAAGAAAGAGACGAAGAGACCTCTCCTCGTCGTGGACGAAGTCGCGATCGTGCGATCGATCCGTCTGTCGCCGATCGGCCGTCCGACGGATCGATCGTTCGTCGCGATCGCGTAGCCACATCGGTGCACCGCCGACCAATCAAACGGGACATTAACCACAGTGCCTCGGAAGGATCGTGCAGTGGCTTTGCATGCGCCGGGAAAGGAAGCGATCATGGGCGATCATGGCCGGCTACTCCGACAGCTGCTGAGACGTGTACACGCGTGCGTATATGCGTGCGCAAGTCGCACGCGTGCACAAATCCCGCACAATGGCTGGAACAGAATCGTTGCATTCGGAATTATTGCGCTCGTACCGCCTCCAATTAACCCTTTCGGCCATACACCTTATTTCTCGGTGAAGTTTCATCAGATTTGGCTTCGCTGATTACGAATCCGAGATTCAAAAGGTTTTCAACAAGTTTTTCAAATTTTTTTTCAAAAAATTGAAATTTTAAATAGCGACCAATATACCGACCATAAGTTTCCAAAACGAGCAATTTCGCTTTTAGCATCCCAAAATAATAATATTTCTCGATATGAAAGAAATATTTGCGTTTTTTACAAGAAACTTGCAGCATGCATATTATCACTATTGCAAGAGTTGATTGTAAAAAATGGAGCTTACAGAAAATTTGGAAAAAAATATGTAAAATACTATTAGTTATTCTGAATAAACTGTTCGAGTCTTGACGCTTCGTCGATTTCTGATAGTCAGCCCTAAAATGACTTTTGTCTAAAACGTATCTTTCGCTTACGTTTATTTGCTTCTAACGACTTAACAATTAAACATTCAAATTATCATTTACTTATTCGCAGTTTCTTATGTTTATGAGAGAGCACAGTAATAATATAAAAATGAAGAGAAAATAGATGGGACACTGGCGTGCCACTGCGGCTCAAAGGGTCAATCTAGTCGATCGGCGGCGACCTCTGGTCTCCCTCCTTGATCCCCTCCTCCTTTCATCGGGATTTTCGCTTGCCGAGCGCCGATTCGATCCAATAACGCGTGTACTTTGCGTAACCGCCATTATGGACGCGGATCGTCGGAAAAATTACACGGTACCGGCAGATATCCGCGAGGATGGATTCGACGCACGCGCGGATCGTAA